ATAGTCTACTCTAGAAAAATTAACTGTTCTATTCCTTAATTGACCCCCATTGTTTATACATGTCTGCCATTTGGATGGAAGTAGATCTATCCCATTCCAATAAAAGGAGGATTGTTTTCTCCTCAAATATTCCTTGACATCTTTTTTTAGCTCCTCCAAATTTTCATAATCAACTCCTCTGATATGATCTTTCAGTCATCCAAACAGGTAAAAATCAGATGGGGCCAAATCAGGGCTGTATGGGGGATGTGGACAGACAGACCATCCCAGATTTCTGATAAAATCAGTTGTGTACAGACTGGTATGGGGTCTGGCATTATAATATTAGATCTTAAGGTTTGGGTGAGTTAAAGATTAGCCATAGGCAAGGGTTAATTGGAGTTAGCAAGTAAAAGTATTGAATTTATGTATCCCATATCATTTTTATTTTGCAGTAAATCTATACTCTTTGCATACTATAGATATAAGCCTTATCCTTTAAGAGCCTAGATTAATTTATGAATGAGTCAGTCAGTGAGTGGGTGGTAATACAATTCTATTTTTGATATTATTGAACAATATGTCAATGAACTTTTTGTTATAAATGACACACATAATGACCAAAATTTATTATAAATTATTTATGAATTTTTATTTTATATTATGTAAATTAAATTAGGATTAAAGAGGGTCAGTGTTTGGGTCTCCTTTACTGCAATATTTTCCAAGTGCAATGTCTATGTGCAATTTGTTATAATTTATATCCTGCTAAACAACATACTTAAATATTAAATTATAAATTATACTTTACCTGTATTTGACCTTTTATTAATGTGCTTAGTAATAATAATATTAAACTGTTGTGAAGTGGGTAGTTGTTTTTTAGTACAAAGGAGTTACTGTGAATCTGTTTACTAGAAATTTTTCCAAGAAAAAAATATACTATATAAACTATAAATTGTCAAAAAATCTTTAAATCCAATTTGAAAGCTAACTTATGTTAGTTATATGCTAAACTTTTGACAGAAAAAAAAAACTTTTAACATATTCTGAAGATACCAATATTTAAAATCAATGAAAATCTTAATGTATTATCATTTCATAGTATTTATTGTTTTACATTGTAAGTAAATAATTTGTTTTTGTTTTTTTTTTATTAGATAGTCTGATAATTGTTTTTTTTATCCTTTTCAATATTAAAGTTTCATCAGTATTCTCATTGAATATTCTTAATTGTAAAACTGGACATACTAGCGATAGGATAAATACTTGTGGAGTTTGTCAAACTGGAACTATTCTATCAAAGGATAAATTGAAATGTTACAGTAAGTTAAAAAAATAAAGTGAAAAAAATTGGATTAAATAAAATATTTTTTTTCATAATTGTTTAAAAAATTTTTTAGAATGTCCAGAATTTTGTGCAAAAGGTTATTGTAAATTAAATTCAAATAAGATAAATGAAGAGGAATCTACTGTCTGTGATCAATGCATTGAGCACTATTTTGTTAAAATTCAAAATGCCATGGTAAAAAAAAAATTATTTAAAATTTTAAAAATTATAATTATTATTTATTTTATTTATTTTGATTATTTATAGAATGCACTTCCGGCTGTAAAAATTGTACAAATATTGATAATTGTCTGGAATGTTTACCTAATTACACATTACAAGGGAAAAAAGAATGTTTCAAGTGTCCGCATAATTGTATGAATTGTAGATGGGATAATTCATTGAATAATGTACAATGCCAAAAGTGTAATGACAGATATACTATAAAAAACCAAGGATGTTTATGTAAATAAATCAAATATTTTTTATTCTTTTCATAATTATCAAAAAAAAAATATTTTTTTTTCTCTTATAAAAAAATAGCTTGTGGACCTTACTGTAAATCCTGTATTTATAATAAAGCTACTGGAATC